TTTAACATTGTTCCCTTACATTTAGCCCATCTTAAATCTGACAAGTTATCTGGCTAAGCAAGAAATCCTGTTTTGTGATACAGCCCCCAGGTGTTTTGGACTTATGTTCAAGTTTGGTTCCCAAACAGATAAAATTAAATGTATGCCAAATGTCTACACTTCCTTATTCCTTATTGAAGAAGCATGTACTGAAAATTCACATCTGTGCGTGTGTGTATATATATATATATATACACACACACATATATATGCGTGTCAAAAGTAAAGTGGGATTTATGGCCATACCCATATACACATGTAAAACCATACATACGCAAGCGTGCTGGGGTTTTAAGGTTGGTTGTGTTTTAAACAGCTTTCGGATTAAGGAGCAGGAGGAATTTTGACAGAGCACCGTTAGATGTTCTGGCAGCGCCTACGAAAGACTAAAACGGCGCTTGAGAAATTTTTACAAGATTTTAAGTCTTTACAAGGTTTATTTTTGTTATGTACACTCCACATATGTAGGGGACGGTATAAAGTGTTACTGTTGAAGAAAGAGCCGCCAATAAATCAAGAGAAGAAGGCGACGGCGTCATTACGCATGACGTCGGGTTGCGTGCCCCTTGCGTTTTGCCTTGGAAACCCCTGATGTGTCTCAGAGCTGTCCGCCATAGTTCTTTTCAGAGATTTGGTAGTTACACAAGCGGCAATACGGGCGACGGTTAATTCGGATTTTTTTCCCCTTAAAAATAGGACGTTAATGCAGTATTTTCTTTTTGGGATTATAATTAAAAATTGTGGGTTACTTCGGGGAGGGATGTGTTTAAGGTTTTGATGTAAGGCGGATGCGACGTTTTTGGTAGACGGCCTTTTTTGTTTTGGTGAGAGGGGAAAGGGAGGCCATTTTAGGCCGCTCTTCCCCCTGTTTTCTCTCCTTTGTCACATTTCAGCTCCTTAAGCTTTTCACCCTCCGCCATTACCTGCGCGGACGCGGACACGACGGATTTCTAGAGGAGTACCGAGGACTTGCTTAAATTGCTCGACTGGACCGTGCTACGTTCTGGGGAGGGAGAAAGAGACTGATTTTGAAGTCACGGACGCTGAGGGGAGGCCGACATTAGCCGCCATCGCGGTTCGGACTCTCTGGCTACCCTCTCCTCCTCTCTTTTCAGTTTCGTTGATTCTTGGTGTCGTTTGGACCCAACTGGACTCTTTTTCTGCCAAGGATCTGGAAGACCGTTCGCGGCTTTGATCACTTTACACTGACGGACTGCAGTTGTGGAAGTTTTATTTGAGACTATGTCATTTAATATTGGTTGACTTTTTATTGGTGTGAATGTAGTTTGATGATTCCCCCGCCACCTTTCCTTCCCACTTCGATTAATTAAGAGAAGAACATTTTACTCCTGCTGACTCATGTTGAAACATCTACATTTATAATGGTTATCCATAATAACTAGCCAGCTAGCGGTTGTTGGCAAAACGCAGGTTGAGTAATCGCGGTGCATTCTCTAGGGTTTGATTGTACATTGGATTTTCCCCTTGTTAGGCCAATTCAGCTAGTGTATTCTGGTTACACGATGTCTTGTGTGCATTATAAATTCTCATCTAAACTGAATTATGACACGGTCACGTTTGATGGGCTGCACATTACGCTCAGTGACCTAAAGCGACAGATAATGGGTCGCGAAAAACTCAAAGCCGCCGACTGCGATTTGCAGATAACCAACGCCCAGACTAAAGAGGGTAAGTAACACTTCATTTGTATATTCAGTACACGTTGTAAAATGGCGTGGGAGGTCAGTATATGGCTACTAAGTAACTATGTTTACAGACAATTCGTATGGGAGGTTGGACTTAACGCTGATGATCATAACATTACATCTGTTTAGCAGACACTTTTCGAAAGTAAAGCTTACGTGCTTTTTCCGAAATGGCGACCTCTGTATATTTTGATGGATCGGTTTTACTTCGGTACCTTGTGATGCTAAAGAGCTTTTCAATTTTAGTCCTTAAACGCCAAAGTTCGAATGGTTTTAATTTTGAAACGAAGCGGTCGCCCACCACTGAAGGGAGCCGTTCGGCACGAACGTGGTGGTTTCACTTGCTTGTTCCGATCGGCGCACGTGGGCTCGCGAGCGGTTCCGGCCCAGCTGGTTTGCGGCGTCTGCTTCTCGCAGTTCCTCGGGAGGGTTAATGTAGTAATATGTACTACTTGTAATTGGTAGGGTTGCGTGAGTTTCTACATAACAATTATTGTCTTCCTGTGGGCCGCTGAGTGTGTTGGCCTTGTTTTCAGAACCAGTGTCCTGGTTATACCTTCAAGGAATTATAGTTAAAATACACATTTCTCTTCGCTAATACAAAAATGCATTGAACGTTGTGTTAAAAATGCCGGGACCTTGTCACGGCGACTTGAGTTTAATTGTCCGTGTATAACCAGCGCTTTGCTGGCATTTTGGCGCATGCGCATTGCATTCCGTCCCTGTGCAAACTCGTGCTTCGGGAATCCATTTTGCGTGTCAAACTCTTGCCAGCCAGCTGCGGTGTTTTCCGTGAACCAGCTGACAGTCTGTAGGAAGCCACTTTGTGCGTTTGAGTGCATTTCCCCACTGTAGCCAAACAGTAAATGTCTGAAATGTCACTGTTTCTCTGTCACAATTTTCTCTGAAGTCGTGAGAATAATCGAATGCGTGCTCATTTGATCCGTTTCTGTAGAGTACACTGATGATGGAGCGCTCATTCCAAAAAACTCCTCAGTCATCATCAGAAGAATTCCCATTGGTGGAGTCAAGTCCACAAGCAAAACATATGTCATGTAAGTGTGTTTTTTCCCCTGTGCTCATATGTAAAGTTTAACGCATGGAAGTTTTAACTTAAAATGTTCCTGCAGTTGATGTAACCCTCCCTTTTTTTATCTGCTTTGCAGTGACCGCTCTGAACCTTCAAGTGGACCTTCTAAAGCAGTATGTAAAAAACACTCACATTTTTTTACTAGATATTCTACTGTTTCTACATTCTTACAAAGCACTTTATTCCTATAGTTTTAGTATGGGAAACAGTGTATCCTCTGAAGCGTGTGCTTCTGGTGTTAGAATGTTGTATCTTTTTTGTATGGTAAAGATCTGCATAAATGCAATTAATTTTATGACTGCACAGCACTGAACCCTGTGTGTATTGTTTTGTGCATGCCGTTGCACTGTATTTCATATTGGAATATCGTGGGTGAAGCACACAATGTACCGGTTATTGTGTAATCGATCAGATCATGTGATTGTGGTATCGAGTGAACATGATGGCATGTTCAAAGTTTGTCTGTCTTAAAGTGTTACATTTTGTAAAAGCTGTTTTTTTTGTTTCCTAATAAAAATGTATTGAGTCATATTTTTAATTTCACCTTGTATTGCGCCGCTCGGATGTCTTGATTCTCTGAGGATTTTTGCTTTTTTCTGTGGTGAGGTTACGCCAGTCTTCCACAGAGAGAATTGAGTTTAACCACCAACTGTTGTTTTTCCAAGATGCAGCAGCAGTTTGCAAGGCTCAAGCACCCAATTTTTTTTCCAAGTGTTTATAACAAAATACCAGAGGCACTGAATACACTTTGTATTGTATATTAAAATGACACTATTGAAGGTCAGATTCACACCCATTTTTGGAAACATTTTATGAAGTCCAATTTTGTTGCACTGAAACAGAAAAATGGTAAAAGAACAGTGTTTATGAACTGACAATGTGCTGGTTACTCTTAGCATTTTTAAATTGTCCTTGAGTCATGAGCTGCCTTTCATCCAAGCTTTTTTCTAGCTTGAATCTAATGTTACAGATATCTAGATGGTTATTCTGATTACGAGATTCAGCACTGGTTAAACTGGTTTTTTTTTTTATCAAGTTTTTACTGGGCTGAAATTCAACGTGAAGCTGTAATTCTAGTATTACAAAACAATTTGGAAGAATGGGGGGGATAATGTGTCCTTGTTGAAAGTCTTGGAAATGCAATCATGTGGCTTTTGGTGTGAATTGACCTTTGGTCCTCAGTTATGATGCATTGTCTGAGCCTTAGTTTGCCATTTATGATTAAAAGGCAATGACTTAGGGGTTACTTTATGATTAAAGGCAGCTTGAGAAATGTGTGTATTGAACAAACAAGTGTGCGTTTTTCTTTTTTGTTTTCATTTTTTTTATTTGAATGATGCTAATGCAAGTGCCTTGAAGTATAAACTTAGACCACAATGACAGTCGACCTTCGCATTCTATCGGGTTGTTTCCTGGGTATTTGATGCGTGTACTGTTTACCGACGCTGACCAGTTTTAGTACTGTGTATCATGCAGAACACAACCTTTCTCAATAAAACATCTCTCTGCAATTTCTGAGCACCTCTTGCAAGGTCTTGTGTGTTCACTTTTAAGTGAGTTCAGCACAAAGGTAGGCACTCTCATCGGGGTGTGAGTCAACTACAACGGACTTTAGGCGTGACCTTAGGCAGGTGTGACCTGGTCCGTGTGATGCTCAAGAGGAGCCGGTCTGTAAATGTGAATTTTCAGACTGTCTCCCAGACCTAATATGTATCACCTCTTCGGAGTGTGACTTAACCTTGCCTCGCAATGAGTGCAGTAATGTGTAGGTTTTGGACCTTAATTTGATTATCAAATTTTTTTTTGTAAGCTGGTGCCAGATTCAACACAGTGTTATGATTAGACCATTTCCAGGTTTTTGTGACAACCTTGACGTTTAACGCGAAGGTAGTCGTCATTGGGAGGTTTTTTTTTCCTCTTTCACGTCCTCCCCCATGTGCAACTGTGCTTCAGGAATTAGTGATAAGCTGTCACATTTGCATTCATAATCTACCTTTTTAAAAGAAGGCCATGTAATGCTGAATCTGATTTGGTTAGGGGACTTTAAAACTTCTAGCTTGAAGTTGTAGGTTTTTATTCTGCAGCACACTTGGCTTAACCTTAACATGCTGCAGTAAATAGTTCCTGCATATTGTGAAATAGATGCTGCCTTACTGTGGTTCACATTGAGTGTATGAAGTGGAAGATTAAAAAGTTTAACTGAATCAAAGTTGAGGATAAATATTGTTAGTGAATGGGGGGAAAAACTGCACCATAATGCTTTAGGATGTAACTATATAACCCTTTTTTAATTGTAGGGGATTTTCATTTTACTGCCTTTTGTGACTCCAGGGTTGCCGTACAGCGCGTGTTTTGTGTGTGTGAAATCGTGTTTTATCATAGCATTAAACTCTGTTTTCAATTTTCTGCAAACAGATCGATGATTCTGCTGCTTCAATTACACTGGCCCAGCTGTCTAAGGTACTCTCCTTCCTGCGCTTTCTGTCAATGCTCACTCCCCGGCCTGTACCCCTGCTGACGCGCATCACTTTACTGTAAAGGGCCACCCGAGTGCACCCCATGGGATTGACACTGATCCCAAACGGAAATAACTGGGCTAATGGCCTATGTGTGGGCCACAGTGTTATTAGAAGTGTCTGATGTTAATGATTTGGTCTGCTGTGGATTTCACTGCTCCGTTATCTATCTGAGGAGGAGCTGTCTGCAGTACAGCATTCAAAATGACATCCTATTTCCCCTGTAGCATCTGGTGTAACGTTACTGTTTTTGCTTTACTGACTTTTTTTTTAAGCCTTATGAAAGTTTTATTGTTCCAAAATGTGCCTTTTTATGCTTCAGTGAAATGCTTCCGTTTCGAAAGACTTATTTAATTTTGTTGGACACTAACGTGTGTGAAGGTGTTGTGGGGATACTGACTGGAAGTGGCCAGTAGTGTGCAGGGTGGTTACTCAGTTCCTCTTAACCACCAAAGAGTAAAACTTGTCTGATCACTATTGGGCCGTTTTGCTGTGCAGTATCCCCTATAGGAAGTGTGGGGGCTTCGGTGTCTTTCCAACTGTGTGCATGTCTGGTCCTGTAGAGAGCTGACCCTGTGCCAGTGTGGGGGTGATTTTGGCGGGAAGAGTGAACTTTTTCAAAGTGTTAACAGATTTTTGATGAAGATTTGGGCATTTTATGGACCAGTTTTGCCATCAGAAAAGTGACATGATTTTCTGTAATCCTTCATGAGGTGCTTTTCCTTTTTGTTTTATTCTGAACCTCAGTACTGGGCAACACTTTAACCTCTGTTTGAATGTGTGCACTGGTTTGTTTGAACAAAGCCATAGGCTGTTCTAATGTCCGATCACGGTGGATTTTTTCCCTAATTTTTAAAATCATAATGCAGTCAAATGAGATGCTGCGTCTGTGCAAACAAACCTGATGTATGTTGCTTACAGCACTGTAGGTGATTCAGCATTAATGCTCGACTGCCAATAGTTGGATGCCACTCTGATCAGTGATTATGTATACAAGTCTTGAAGATAAACCTTTTCAAGATGGACTTTTTCTGCATCTCTGACTGGGTGTGACTTGAGATATTTAAAATAGTTTGGTATCTAAAGTCAGGTCTCTGAAAAGCCCACATTTTAATGTCTGCTTAGTTTTTAAGACCTATGACTTAAATAAATAAATAAAAATTCCCTGATAAATGCCTCCACTAAGATTTATTGGCTGTATAATATCCTACAAATGCAGATGTTTGCATTGAATATTAACAACAGGATAATAGTGTGGCATCCATCTTACACTTGTAACCCACCTTGTATGGGGAGGGCTTAATGCAGAATGAGACGCAGCTGAGCGGTCAAATCCTAACCCACCTGCAGGGGGCGCCGCTGAAGGCTTTGTAGCCTGCTGGTCTGTCTCGGCTCCCCAGATGTTCGGCTTTGGGCCCGTTAGCTGCTCTACAGGATGGGACGTGCTCACTTTAATAGCTCTATGGAAGCAGTCTGTCTTTTCTTGGTCCTGCTTTTGTAAATAAATAAAGATTGTTGCCTGTTGCACAGACCGCCAACCTCGCTGAGGCCAATGCTTCTGAAGAAGATAAAATTAGAGCTATGATGTCACAGTCTAATCACGAATATGATCCTGTTCAGTAAGTATGCCGTTATCATGTGACGGACACCCCCCTCCACCCCCCAACCCCAGATGTGTCGCGGTTGTAATAGGTTGTCTTCTCTGCAGTTACATGAAGAAAATGGTGGGACCGCCACCTCCAAACTATACCTGCTTCCGCTGTGGGAAAAATGGACACTACATACGAAACTGTCCAACCAATGGGGTAAGAGGATGTCATGTGATGTGTGGGCTTCTGGGTGAGATGTGGAGTTCCTTGAATCAAACCACACACAGATCTCTACTCTGAGTCAGCCTCACTCCGTCGTACCTGCAGGACAAGAGCTTTGAGGCACCACAGCGTATCAAGAAGAGCACCGGGATCCCACGGAGCTTTATGATGGAGGTGGATGACCCCAGCATGAAAGGAGCCATGTTAACTAACACTGGCAGATACGCCATTCCCACCATTGATGCGTAAGTGTTCTGTTGTGTTCAGTGACCTCTACACTATGATCTATAGTGACTGAGATTAGGAGAGCCTGTCCATTTACCAAGTCTGACTGGAGTGAAACAAGCCTGTCCCCATCTCCTGGGTGATACAGAGAGGCCTATGCCATCGGCAAGAAGGAGAAGCCGCCGTTCTTGCCGCCAGAACAGTCATCATCCTCGGAGGAGGAGGACCCTGTGCCGGATGAACTGCTGTGCCTGATCTGCAAAGACCTGATGACTGACGCGGTGGTCATCCCCTGCTGCGGGAACAGCTACTGTGACGACTGTGAGTCCCCTACTAGATGTGTCTTGCTTGGCCTAAGGGTGGGAAAGGAGAAGGTGATGGGTGATAAAGCACAATCATCTCCTTTCCCTTTCAGGTATCAGAACATGTCTCCTAGAATCTGAAGAGCATGTGTGTCCCACCTGCCACCAATCTGATGTTTCTCCTGATGCTTTAATTGCTAACAAGTTCCTGCGACAGGTGATTATATTCATTTGTTGCCTTGAACTAATTGGTCAAGTGTCTCTGTGTTGCAAAATGAATGTAAATACTGATATTTGCTCACAGTTGAGTATTGGCGGTGAGTGGTGTATCTATGGGGCCAAATGTAAGAAAGTAAGTCTCCCACCAGGCTGTTAATAACTTCAAAAACGAGACTGGCTACACCAAACGGATGCGCAAGGCTCCGGCCCAACCGGCGGCACCCGTGGTCCCACCCCAGCCGAGGGTTCAGCGGCCCGTCCAGCCAATAAGGCCCCCCACGTCCCGGCAGCAAGATCCGTTACTGGCTAACGTTCCCCGACCCACGGCAACGGTCACCCCTCCCCCGGCAACCCCTGCAGTGAGTGCACCAGGGACACACGCGGCCCCCACCCCGCCCACTGCTGCAGCTAGCACCCCCTCCATGCAGACTGGTGCTGTGGCAGGTGTGCCGGGTTACAGCACTGCCTCTCCCTCCCCCCAGAGGTCCATCAAGCAGGAGGAGCCTGTGCTCTCCAAGTGAGTCTCACCCATTATTGGTCCCATTATCTCTTGCCGAGTTTTGGATGCAATCCTGGGATTTGTTACTCCTCCCACTACAGCTTTTTCTACATAACCAGGTTAAACTGCACTGAAATTAAACCATTTTTTTGTCTCCCATCTCAAATATTCCACAGGGAGCTTGAGAATGTCCCATCAGCACCCCCGGTAATGGTGTCAGCTGACCCACCGTTGACAGCCCCTGTCATTCCAAAGGTAAGCACATGACAGGGATGTTACTTTAATCTCCGAAGGCGCTTGTGAATGGTCATTTAAGTTCCTTATTTTTCCTTCATCAGCAGGGATTTCACGTGCCAGTGATGGATCAACCGCACTCCCTTGGCCATTCCATCCCCAGAACAGGTAAGATCTTTGTGAAGGATCCTGGGAAAGGTGGCTGTTTGGACACCTTTTAATGGTGCTCGACATTCATGTGAAGACTGATCTAGTGGATTTGACTCTACTTTCCTGTAGGACCGCTAATTCGACCCAACCTACCCAGGCCCAGCAGACCTGCCTGGGACACGTAAGTCTCCTGTTCCTACATTCAGTTCAGTCATTACTACTGAAGATTTGCATTATTGAAAAATGTTTACATATTCCCCTCCAGGACTGCAGGCAGAGGGCGCTCTCATTCTGACCGTCCTCAGCGGCTGCAGGCACCCCTCCCAGTGCCGCCCCCAGTCTACATGCCTACCCCCTCCCTCTTTGCTCCACCGCCACATGCCATGCCCCAGCCGCCTGGTCTGGCCCCGCAGCCATACCCCCTGCAGTACCCAACAGGGCAGCCACCTGCCACCAACTACAATGTGCCACCGCCCGTCTACCCACCAGCCCCGGCTACGGTGTCCACCCAATGGGTGCCCCCTGGGGCCCAGCCCCCCATCGGCAACCCCATACCCCAACTTGGGCCAGCACCTTTCCTGTCCAAGGAAGAGTTCTACAGGCAGCAACGCAGGTTGAAGGAAGAGTGAGTTTTTAAGCTATGTTAATCTAGTGCATTGATGATTTAAAGAGTTTCTCTAAGCCAATGGCCACACCTTATTGGTTTAATCTTTTCTGTATTTCCTATTATAGTATTTCATTGATCTTGTGTTTAAATATGGTGGCAATATTTTGAATGATTAGCCTGTGATGCTTGTCTTGTAGTAATGATGACATGATGCCCTTGCCTGATTTAACTGTCGAGTTTTATCTCCTTCCTGTTTTCAATAAATAGTTCGCACTGTCAATTCATTGCCAGGGAGAAGTCTAAGCTTGAGGAATTCACCAATGATTTTGCCAAAGAATTACTGGCGTACAGGAAGATTCAGAAACAACGGCGCTCGTATTCTAGGTAAAATGCCTTGAATTTTTGCTGGAGTTTGAATTAGTCCCATTTTTCTGTGTCTGATTGCCTGTTCAAACCTCCCTCCTTGCAGATCAAAGTCTCCCTATAGAGGGTCATCATACAGCGAGAGCTCCTACTCCTACTCTAAATCACGATCCAGGTCCCGGTCCCCTCGCTCCTACTCCCGTTCCCTGAGCCGTTCCAGGTCCCGGTCTCGCTCCAGGTCCCGGTCCCGGTCCTACTCCCGGTCCCCATATGGTCGGCGTGGAGGTCGAGGCCGCAGCCGCAGCTACCGTTCCAGGTCCCGCTCCCATGGCTACCACCGCTCCCGCACTCGTTCCCCATCCTACAGGGGACGAGACGGTGGCAGCACGAGTGCAGGGGCTTACCGTTCACGGTCACGCTCGCCGGCAGCTTACAGGAGTCACACCCCGCCAAAGAAGCCCATGCCTCTTCTGCAGCTTGATGGAGATCGCAAGTATGCGAACCGCTACCGGGAACCTCCTCCATATGATGCCAAGGCATATTATGGCCGCAACATTGACCAGGGAGATCCATTTGAGAGGGAGAGGTACAGGGAATGGGAGAGGGAGTATCGGGAATGGTATGAGAAATACTTCAAGAACTACAGCAATCCACCTGGCAACATGTCTCGAGGGAGGGCCCCACCAGCGGGCAGAGAACCGTTCACTCCAGAACGGTTTGCCCCACCACGGCCCAGGGAGAACTCGCCGTATGGACGTGGGAGAAGGGAAGAGTACTCTGCTCCCGGCCAGAGCCATAGCTTACTCCCAAGAGGCCGTCATGGGCCACAGGCCTACCAGGACAAATTTCCATTTAAGGAGGGACACGGCATTGGAGGTGTAGGCAATGCAGGGAAAGAGCCACAGAAGGGTCCCAAAGATAGAGAGCCTAGCGGGAGTGGCCCTGGAGATCCCAAAGGCTTGAAGCACAAGAAGCACCGGAAAAAGAGGAAAGGAGAGGAGGGAGATTCCTTCAGTCACTCGGATTCCATGGATGATGGGAGGAAGGAGGACCGGAAGGGCGATGGGATGCTGATGGCCTCCAGTCGTGATGATGCTACACCCGTTAGGGATGAGCCCATGGAGAGCCCAACCGTGCCCTACAAGGCTACCTCAGACAAAGATCGCAGGGAAAAAGTCAAAGGTAAAAGTGAGAAGCTGAAGCGGAAACCAGAGGCAAATACCCCTAAGAAGGAGTCATCTATGAAGACCTCGAAGTCCTGCAGGGAGAAAGAAGCAGACCTGGATCGTGAAAAGTCACCCCGCTGTGAGCCAGCAGTCAAAAGGGCAAAGGACGACTTCTCTCAGAAAGTGGATTCTGGCAAGCAGCACACATCACAGAGAGAGGAAAAGGCTCCACCAACCCGAAGGGTGGTACAAAAGCCCACGAAACATAGCCAGGAGCCCAAGCCTGCAAAAGAAGAGCCAAAAGTGAAGAAAGAGCATGTGAAGGAGGCTCCCAGGCATGACAAAGCCCCCACCAAGGACGAGAAGCCCAAGACAGAGACTGAGAAGAGCATCAAGAGCGAGGATAAGCCGGCCAACAAAACCACCGAAGCCAAACCTGAGAAAAGGAAACGAAAAGAGGAGAAAGCTCCGGAGAAGGACCCAGATGGCGCTCTGGTCAAATCACCCAAAGTTGAAGCGACTGAGGTAGCAAAAGGATCCCCAAAACCCAAACCCAAGCCTGAGGGTGAAAAGCCTGCAGAGAAAGACAGACCAGCTATTCGACCTCTGATGGAGAAGGAGGTAAAGCCTGTGCCTCTGAGGAAGATCAAGATTAACCGTGAGATTGGCAAGAAGATAGGGAGTACGGACAGTGCACCTATTGTAGAAGAATCTGCTGATGGTGCTGGAAAGAGCAGACCTGAGAAGACAAAGGGCAAGATCCGTAGGAAAATACCAGCTCCTGATGGCTCCAGCTTGTTGGTAGATTATACCAGGTAAGACCATTTTTATTGTTTGAAAAGTTGTATATATACGAAGTGTTTTATTGCCTGTTAGAGTTATGAGGACATTTTTGTAATGCTTTGTGCATGAAATGAAGGTGGCATTTCTCTCTTGATTTTAGTACAAGTTCCACAGGGGGAAGTCCAATCAAGAAGGTCGAGGAGAAGCAGGACCTGAAGAAAACCGTGGTGAAAACCCTAGAGGAGTATACTAATGACAGCTCCACTCCCGCAGAAGATGAGATAGTCATGATCCAAGTTCCTCGCTCCAAATGGGAAAAGGAAGATTATGAATCTGAGGATGAGGAGGCCAAGGCATCCTTGCCCCCGGGGAAGGACAACTCCACACCTGCCCCCGCTGCACCTGAAAGCACAGTTGTGAGAGCCAATGACAAGAACTCACCGCAAACAGAACGAGTTACCCCTGCTGCTAAGGAAACTGTGAAGGTTGAAGTTGTGACAGAAACTAAGCCTGCAAAGGTCTCCCCTCCAAATGACAAAGAGAGGGATAAAGAGAAGGAGTGGGAGAGAGAACGAGAGAAGGGGAGGGAGCGGGAGCGGAGCGCTGCAGAGAGGGAGCGGAGCGCTGCAGAGAGGGAGCGGAGCGCTGCAGAGAGGGAGCGGAGCGCTGCAGAGAGGGAGCGGAGCACAGCAGAGAGGGAGCGGAGCACAGCAGAGAGGGAGCGGAGCGCTGCAGAGAGGGAGCGGAGCGCTGCAGAGAGGGAGTCTGCAGATAAGAGAAAACCTGCGGTCCTGAGCACAGACAGAGAGAGGAACAGAGAGAAAGAGGGAGAACGTGGCGGCGACCATGGTAGTGATAGGAGCAGCTCCTCTGCTTCTCACTCCTCTAGGGACAGGCCAGCAGACAAAGCTGATGCAACATCACGGAAGCCTGGCAGTAAGGAAGGTAGCTCTGCAAGCTCTGACAGGAGACCAGAGCACAGGCCAAGCCAAAGGGACCACTCTTCATCAAAACCCAAAGACAGCAAACCCAGGGAACCTGCCAAAAGGCGGGAGTCCCCACAACCCTCAAAGGAGCACAACCAGCCTCCCCGTAATAGAGAGAGAGATAGAGAGAGGGATACAGATGTGGCAAAGAGGGGGTCGGGGGGGTCTGGGCCCTCAGAGTCCCGGAGGTCAGAGCACAGCCCCAGCCGGGAAAAGAGGCCGTCTCAGAGTGCCCCAGAGCCACCAAGACAAGGACAAGAATCTGAACCTCGGAAGGCTGAGAGGTCATCTGGCAAAGAAGGGCAGAGCAACAGGCACCAGGACACAAGGGAGACTAGAGATGTAAGGGACAGTAAGGACACAAGGGAGACAAGGGACTCCAGAGACAAGGAGCACAGCTCCCACAAGCCCCCCCATAGGGCCAGCTCCCCTGAACCCAGGACTGAGACGGATCGGGCTGGAGGCCGTGTCGAGCGTGACCACAGCAAAGCCAAGCCTCCCTCAGTCCGGTCCACACGGCTTTCCTCCGACCTGGCCCGCGAGACAGACGAGGCAGCCTTCGTCCCCGACTACAGTGAGAGTGACAGCGAAGCCTCAGATGCCGATGGACGAGCAGAGCAGAGGGCCAGGGACCGGGGCCCGGACAGCAGCCCGAGTGCCAGTGCCAGCCCCTCCCCTTCAGGAAGCCATGCCCGCAGCAGCAGCGCCAGCTCCGGCGGCAGCCAGGACAGCAAGAAGAAGCGTAAGGACAAAAAGGACAAGAAGGACAAGAAGAAGCACAAGAAGCACAAGAAACACAAAAAACACAAGAAGCACACCAGCAATGAGTCTGAGACTGAGCAGAAGGGCCAGAAACACAAGCATAAGAAAAAGAAGTCAAAAAAGAACAAGGAGAAGGACAAAGACGAGAAGGAGAAAGAGAAAGAGAAAGATGACCAAAAATAAAAGGGTCTGTTTGAGATCTCAGACGCTGCAGTTGACTTAATTTACTCAAGTCATTTTTTGTAACAATGTCAGTATTGTACAGGAAATACAATTTTGTAAATACAGATGGTAAGAAGACTGCATGTAAAGATAATACTGCTGTTTTTTTCCCCTCCTGCAATAATTTTGTCTTCTGAGGTTTCTAATGCAATTCTGTATAAAGGTATTGATTTGACCATGAAATTATCCGCAGCATTGCTGAGAGATTAGCTACTTGAAAAGGTGAAAGTGACAACTTGTTTTGTATGTCGATCGACATTTGAAGGACAAGGGTCTAGAGAATCCTTAGTCTACTTTTTAAACACCATAAATTTAAATCTAGGAGTACCGACTTTAATAAGCAGGCGTTCGGTAAAAGCATTGTACAGTGAAAGCACTTTATAGATGTGAAATTTGCTGCATAGCTTTCCGGAAGCGATGTCGTTACGTACCTCATTCTGTCTAGGTGTGCGAGTATATTTGTAGCCTGAAAGTACAGCAATTACTGGTAGAACTGGAGCGTCTTGTTGAAGAGCGGCATGGTGATACATGGAGTCTTTTTGTGGGATTAATTGTGACTGTGAATATTTTCTTTAACGTTTATTTTATTTTTTTGCATTGCCTTCACGTTTAATTTAAAATTCATGCTGAATACTGCGGAGGGGAAACCTTTGTTTTGAAGACAATAAACGTTTTTCAGCAAAACATGAAACATTCTCCCTCTTGTCTTGTGTGTAATCTGTTCAAATTTAGAATCAATCTTCATTGCCATATGTTTTACTAATAGATGGTATTTGATATCTAAATACAAACTGGTTTGCCATATTCCTGTCATGTATACGCATGAAATGGATTGTGAATTCATCCATGTAGGAATTAGTATTTAATTTACGACCAAGCTCCATTAAACCTTAAGGATCGTTTTTAGTTACTTTAAGAATAAAGCTTTTAAGTGCGTTTGAACTTGTCCACTTTATATATATTTATATTCATTGATGGTAGGTAGGTGGCATAGTTGGATCGCTTGCGTCTTATTAAAATATCTGTTGGGGGTAATCCGACAAGCTATACCGGTTTATGTGGGGAATGTCTGGGCTTTGTTTTATGATCATAAACCAGTGGCCTGTACTACGTAGCAGGGTTACTGGCTGATCGGGGTAACTTGTCGGATTTAAGGTAGTCTGGGTTAAATGCAAGTGAACGAATATGAAGTCCATTTAAACTGTGGTACCTTAAATCCAACAAGTTACCCCGATAAGCCAGTAATCCTGCTTCGTAGTACAGGCCACAGAAGCTCCCGAGGGGAAAAAACCTTTCATGAATAATGATTCATTAATTTATTCGGCCTTTTATAGCAAAAGGTGTTGGATACTGTGTTTGCGCTTGACAGCGCGGACGTCCACAGCCGGGAAGACACTCATCATGCCGACACAGTTATTAAGGAAGTAAAACCTGCGGCTGGCACGTCTCCAAGATCAAAGTACACACAATACCTGATAAGCATTTATTGCTGCCTGGCATTTTTGCAGATCTGAATCGCAATAGGGAGTCCTTTCTCTGTGTTAAGGTATTCCGCCTGTCATGCAACTTGTGTTGCGTGAAGAATGTTCAATCCCCACCTTTCTCTCACGCTTACCTCCCCTCCGGCGCTTTCAGGGTCCTCAGGGTCCATCACGTGATTCATATATTGGGTCATGTGATTCTGGCCCGACGCTCACGGCAACATGTGACCCTGCCCCTGATAGACGAACCAGAAAAAACGGAATTGAGACAGGAAAACAAATACAAGGTCTTCTTCACCTTCACCTGCCCTTTTCTAGCACCTTACTGCACGTCAGCTGTGGACCGCAGATTTCAAGCTTTCATAACCTCGGTAGAAAGGCTGGTGGAGCATGCACGGCATTAATTAATCCTGGGAGCAGGCGGCTGGATCGCGCACGGTGGCTTTCAGCCTGGTAAGTTAACTGCGTGCTTTCGGCAGGTGATTTGTGCAGCTTTTCCCCCATTTGCATCCACAGTACAGCGCTTCATGTAGATATATGCGAGGTTTCGTTGAATTAGCTGGGAAAGCACTATCAGTGATGACGTCTGTCAAAACTGGGACGCACGCTTCGACACGTACACTTCCTGCAAAACCTGAAATATCCATGTTGTAACTAATTTGTAATCCAGCTATCTGAATAGTCTTTCTCCGTGAGCATCTTCCCAATTTTCTTATTATTTGGCCGTTTGCAGAGGTGTTCCTTTCGTTTCTACACCTGTGCATCCGTGTATTTCCCTTTACGCTGCGAGGAGTAGAAACAAAGCGGTGTGCCGCAATCCTTTGCATATACTCGGTTTCAGGTGTCGGTCTGCCAAATGGTTTTTGGGTTGATATGATGCCCAAGGGCCAGTGATTGCGCTTCTTTAAAGAGATACCGGATATGAAGGGTAGAGGCCGGAGTAACACCAGTACACGGCATGCATATCCTGCAGATGAGCTTTATGGCTGTAGCCCAAGTTCAAAGCAGGAGACCACTTTCACATAGGCCGATTTATATGCATTAATCAACCCGACATTGCCTGGATGAACCAAACTAGCGTCCTGTAACGTTGTTAGGTTGTTCTCGACAAAATGCCTTAGCCATTGTAACTCAAAGAAATATACAAATGGCGACAGAAGCAATATATTGAGTCGGTTATTCTAATTAGTGAAATGATTTAAAAGTCCGTCGTAAATCCTTTTTTACGGGTTTGGGGCTTATGTCTATTTTCTGCAGTTACGTGGTGGTTGTGTGCAGTTTGAACTGCAGGTGCATTAATGAAGTAGCGAAAGTTTCTTCGTAAATCGTAACTGCAATGAGATGGAATCGAATTAATTTCTGTAAAAAAAAAAAACGGACAAAGGGATGCCAGGAAGGCTTCTGTGAAAAATACGTCCCGTGTATTCCTTAATAGAAAGTTACCTTCCTAATAGTAGCTCTATCGCACAGTCGGGTGTGACTCCCCCTAGCCGATTTTTGTGGAAACGCGTTAAAGGGTGGCTAGCGGCATGCGAGCTCGCCACCCTGTCAGCTTGTTGGCTCTGACTGGGTGTTGTGAGTATTTTGCCATACTGGAGCTTCTGAAATTTCTAGATATTTCCTATTTCTGAAGATTTTTCTTTCAAACTGGTTGATTTCAGGACATTTTTAAAGACGATTAAATGATTGAAGATCCTGTGTGATGTAGCGGTGATGGAGAAATGCATGCGCTAAAACAGCATTAATTTTTGCAGGTAGGGTTGCCAACTCTCACGCTTCTGTTGTGACACTCGCGCAAGAAATCTTACAGCAAATCTATATAACTCCATTACAAACCTAAATTAAGCTACATCAAAAGCGTTGCCGCAGTTTGCAGACCCTACACAATATTTACATGGTAATTAAACTTTTACATGCATGTAAATGTGTGAGCATGTGTGTGCAGACTTGTCTCGAATTGAAAGTCTTGCTCCAGCCAGCTGACTGTTTAGGTCTGAAATTTAAACATGGATGCATGAGAAAACAAAGTACTTGCGGGAGGAACATTCCGAACACGTGGGATGCTGTGAAATGCATGGTGCAGAGGTACAGTACGACCTAGGAAACCCTTCACTTTCCTCTCTACGTATGTGTCTGTTTACCGGTCTCCTCCATGAGATGGTAGTTAACTCAGTGAAAGGTGCATCTTACTCAGTGTTTTTTAAGCTAAGTGAATTCTGCCACCACTCACTGACAGCTTTGCCCTTGACTACCTACACTTAGTCTATCCTTTAACACTGGTTATAGAGGCAGTTTCCCTCTAGGTAGAATCCAAATCCCTGGATCCTCCCAGATTCCTCGCCGGGCTGCAGTGGAGGGGTATAGTGTTCGCAATCTATTCATAATTTGCACAAATGTGTATTGATCAAAGTCTTGGGCTGAATGGGTCTCAGTGCTGGTTTTAGTTAAAACTGCACCCCTTGTCCACCCCTACCACAGGGATACACATTACCAGTGCTCCGTTATCCTAAACCCGGTCTTCTCCAGGACTAGGACAGGGCCTTGTGTCTTGGTACATCTCAGGCCCAACCTGAGACCTCCGATGGCTGTCGTGCCAGCTAAGTGCAAACCTGAAGGGACTGAAAAGGTGATTTTGGTCTTTTAGTGGAGGAGATCAAACCCCCACCCCTATTCTTGTTTCGCTGGTTTGTGCAATCTTTTGTATGATTTAGATTAGCCCATGGACGTGAAGTTTGGGAACCCCTCCATCTGTGGGTTACCATGGTTACCGTTTGTGTTTTAGTGGATCCCTGTAAGGGTTGGATCTGAAAGACACTTTATTAATGACTGTACAAATAGTCCGTCATATTTCTTAATTGATGATTCTTTTCCCATCACTGAGTTTACGATGTAACTTCTCCAAATATGTGGTGATGAACCAGGTGTATGCTGCCCTCAGTTTGATGGGGCTCTTTGTAGAATAGCTCCCCCTTTCAGAGGCTACATTTTAATTGATTTCTTTCGGTTTTTTGCTTTGTTTTCCTCTCTATCTCCCGTGTGTTAGCTGTGGAATAACTGCTGAGAGTTTGGGAGAGAGTGCAGTCTTTACTGCAGCTTACTGTCAACACACGCAGTGCGACACTTAGGGGTCATGGTGTTTCTGTCAGTTTTCCTACACTGTTCATCAGCTCAGCGTTGACCAATAGGGAAGTGCCTTAGACTGGCAGCCATTCTGAATGAGCTGATGAGAGCATAAATTTAATACTGAGCCAGCCAGATAAGCGAGTGATAGTAGTGCTTTTGAGATGGGGGGGGGGGGCGGAGATGTTCTGTCTCTCTCTGGCTGCCTTGCTATGGAAGTGATGACAGTGTGATGAGACTCTCCTGATCCTCAGCGTTCAGGCTCCAGTGATGCATTCCAGATTGTGGGTCATGGCAACATGCTGCCCCTCCTTGTGTGTCTGTGTGCAGTGTTGGGGGCGTTACTCACAAAAGTAATCCATTACAGACAGAGGTGAAAAGTTCGGGTCCAGAAAGTACAAATCCAGACCAAGGTTTTGTTTTAGCCACCCAGTTGAGTACTCTGTCACTGTGACTCTTTATACTCAACTGGTTGGTTGGAACAAAACCTTGGTCTGGATTTGTACTTTTGGGACCCAAACTTTCCACATCTATCTGTTTTTGCGAGTAACTGACTGTGTGTCTGTAAACTGTGGGATGAACGTATGTCATCCATAAAATCTGTGAACTATCTCCCTTTGAAATGGCGGAGCTGTACTGGTTATCCACGTTGGAACAGAAGGTACCAAAATCCATCTTTGTGACCAATGCTTGCCGTCTTTGGTGAGCGTAGCAGCTTAGCTAAGGAGGCTTTTCCACCACACGAAGTACAGTGCGTTTTCTGCGGCACTTTTTGCTTTTCCATTGACTTCTGGTCCAGCACCAGTACCAAAGGTACCAAAGTAGCTGGGGTACTTTGGGGTGGGACTTCTTCAACGCAAATATACACAATACAAAGGCTGCCTTGAAAACAGTTACAAACTAAGAAAATAATGATAAATGAAGTAAAAAAAAACAACAAAAAAAATGTGTGCATAAATATTGCAATCTGGTCAGAAGAACAGATGCAACAAAAAGATCAAAACTGCATGAAAATTTTTAAAAGTATTTTATTTAATATACTATGATAGCACGCATATAGTGTATATAGCGTGCTGTGCTGGGGCGATGTGTTTT